GAGCTAAACATTTTTGTTTACCTTCATATTTACGAGTTAAATGTTCATTGTCTCCCTGACCTAACTTTTGGTCTATCAATTTCTCTATTCTTCATTTACTTGACTTGTTCGTTAGACCAATAGTCATTAAGCATTTACACTTACTTGTACCTTGAATCTTTACTTCTTTTGTAGGATCATTTTGTTCTGAGTGCCTTGGAAGGCCGGTCGTTGCGTAATTCAAAGAAAAGGCTTTCATCACACCCCGATATTCTTCGCGACCCCACTAATAAATCTCTTACAGAGGATACTATTTCTATTAAATCTGATGATAGTTCTCACTTTCCATATTTATGTTCAACCGCTCGATATTCAAACCTACCTTCATCTCATCATCAAACATTCAACTCAAGAAATAGTGTATCTCAATCAACTCCTAGCACTCTAACAACGTCTACTACCACAATTTCTACAGCTGCAACAAATACAGCTCCTGATATTGCGAGTCTTCGTTCTGATGCCTTATCTCCCGAAACGGGGTTTGAGTCTTCAAAAAACACAAGTTCATTGTCCTCAGGATCCTCATCTCTGCAACGGTGTCCATCCTTAGTCTCGAAAGCAGTTTCTTCTCCATCTTCTCTATTTTCAGGCCATACACGTGATCAAGACTCATTTTCTTCCATTTCACTTGATCTTCCATCTTCATTGCCTGGTATTATTGAAAAGGAAAATTCTCTTTCTTCCAGTCCCAATTTTGGCATAAGTCGCAAACGCGCTCATTCTTCAATTTCTTCCTCTGCTACATCTGGTACAGTCAAATCTTTAGGGCAATCGAAGCGTAGCCAGCAAGATCTAGCAAGCTCTAACTCTTCTAAACGAGTTAAGCGTCTGAAGAGAGATGGGGCTAATTCTGCCTGGCCTGTGGGTCGGATCCTCGCTACTCCCATTGCCTCGGCTGGCTCCAAACTCAAAATAGATAGAAACGACGAAGCCGCACATAAGACTGCTGCGGCTGCCGTAGCTGCTGCTGCTTGTCTTGGTAAGGGCGCCTATATTTGAAGGTTTGCTACTTGTTTTTACTCTATTTTTCGTTCTGTTTAATCTCTTGAAATAGGTCGAATTTCAACTTGTTTATTTATGTCGTCTTTGTGATTGTTATCTTCTTCTTGACGCAGTTTCTTGTTGATTGTACTTGAGGCACTATCCTTGGTTTATTTGATGCGCCTGATTTTGCTTTAATACATTTATTTTGCCATATAATCCTTATCTTTTAAGTTGCTTTTTTGAGCTGTTAAAGTTTTATGCTATAAGGTGGATTCAACTAATGTTCATTCTTCATCAAACTTCCAATCATTGTTCGACTGACAATTTGAATCATACTTTATCATTTAAGTGTTGTATTTGTCCCATCTTTTGTCCTAGGTTCCCTTTCCATATTTTTTTTTAAATTTCCTGTGCATAGGTGCAATGCTATCCTGTCCAGGTTCAGAGTTAGCGGCTCGTTCTCTAGCTGAAAGTCTTGTCAGTGCTCCTTCTATCGCTTCAACTTTAACCTCTGCGATATCCACAGCTACCACAACTGTGACTTCAATGTCCTCATCCACATGTTCTCCAAATTGCGTTGTTGGAAAGATTGCTAGTCCATCTGCTGCCGTCACGGCAGCAACCGCTGCAATGGCTTCCCGCTTTTTATCAGTAGTTGCTGGCAAGAAAGGAACAATGACCTGCAGAGACGAAGATGAAGATGGTGATGACGAAGATGAAGATGAGGAAGAGCAGAACGAGGTGGGCAGCAAATCTTATGATCGACAAGTCAGATGCCATAGGATTGAAAGCATTCTGAAAAAAAAATCTTCGATTTCCACTGACTGTTGTGGTTCTTCTATTCGGCAATCCTCTCGTTATCCTAGGGGGGATAATCTGGAATTACATGGAGTTTCTAAGGATCTCGACTCCGATCGGCGAGTTGTATATCCATCTGCTAAAAGAATCCGATTTTACCGCTCAGAACCATCCTACTTCTTTATGAATGGTGCCTCTTGCAAGCCTTCTTTAGAAAGAGTGTCCAACATATCTTCGAACCTTGATCAAGATGTTGGTCTACTTAAGTAAGTCATTTCAAACTAATATTTAAGCCATCTACATTTTGTTTTACTGCACTAAGCCTTAGGTAAGTATGTATTCGTGGACTGGACTACGCCTCAAATGGCCACTAAATTGCTGTCGAGCGATGTATAGACTATAAACTTTCCCCACTGGTAATATTGCAGCCAATCGAGCCCTGACTGTTTTATGGTAATTTAAGCAATGATTTTGCAAGACAATAATTTCCTTCTGATTCAGAGTCTTTATCTTATCTACTTGATTTCAAGTATCCTTCCGGCTACAGGCTGTAATGATTATCTATTACCTCTTTTACCTAATATAAAGGTCCTTATGCTGAATTAATGCGAATTCTTCTTGGGCTTCAAAAATTGACTAATGTCTTTTTTGGATTAAGATACACATTCTTAAGGTCTCTGTTGAGGCTAGACTTCAACAAGTCATGAGTACATCGTTCTGTTTCTCCGAATGATTTCTCCCCGTCGTCCATATGGAACCAGACTTCTGCTTGACTTCTTCACAATCCAAAATACGATTATTTGTTACTGTCTTTCTCATATTTACTCGCTAATTACTAATTGTCACTAAACGCTTCTCGAAAATGTAAACTTTATTTTAGGTTGGCCAGCCATTCATTTAATTATTTTATTCACAAATGCTAAACTAATTGAGAAAACGAAATACTTAAGGCTCTTATAATGGGTCTACTCAGTCTTCAGCTTTCTGTTGCGCGAATCAGACAAACTATTTTGCACGATTCGTGATGCGATTTTTTCAATTCTAAACACTAATATTCTATTACGCGTACATTATTCAAAGGAAATGAATGGTATTCGAAATTCCCTTTATTATGGGGTTCTTCAGAAACGAGTCTTTCTACATATGTACCGAGTTTCAATCAGGTTCAGTTTGCGATTTTGCTTAAATGCTCCTCCTACATGCCAATTATCACATCCCCAGTGCGAATACACGCCTTGCTGTTTATTTTTAGTGTTTCCAAGTTGGTAGGTTTTTTAATGAGGCAAAGAAAATAGCAGAATCTTTGTTGATGCCAGGCAACATAAATAACTTTTCAAAATTGCTCTTCACATATGAGATAGAACATGTTTTAACTCATCAGAGCGATCGTCGCAAATGTTCTTTATTACATTTTATTTTTCTCCACAAAATTCAACTGGCCAAGCATTAGATCTAATTCTTGCATTTCCGAATTAATCAGCCTTTGGGCAGTTTACTTTTGTTTTCTGATTTGTAAGACGTACGAATATGTATAAAGGATGTTAAATATAGTGCTTTTTATAGTATTTACTTATATCACGGAGATTTTGCTAAATTACTCGTAAATGAATGGTATGAATGACGCTCGACATATTCTATTAAAACCGATAGAATCTGGATTCATATTAACATTATGCATACTACATAATGCGATCAATTTTCAATACCGAGCTTGACGGTTGTGTGAACCTTCAAGATTTTAACTCAGTGTTAATATTTGCAAGCATATTATTACCAATTATGTGCTCGAAATCGATGTCCTTACCTTCAGCAAGCAAATATTGCCCAGATATAAAGTCGCCATTTTTATAAGGAAAATTAAATTTTATGATTACCTATCCTTTTTATAGTTCTCTGTCGAGGTAATCCTAGACATTCTATCCCACTTTTCTTTCTCCAATTTACGTTTGTTAAATTTAATAAGAATAACTTGTGTTGGCTTGACTTTGCTTTCGCAATTTAATCGGAGCGTCAAGGAGACACTGTGGAACACGCCTAGTCCTGTATCCTCTGCCATGGTATTCGTGATTCCAAACATAGGATCCTTGACTTGGTACATAGCCACACGTTTAGCCGGCATCGTCATTGAGAAGCGCGATCGTAAGCACAGTTACCACTTATCAAAATGTTAAATGAAGGCGATCCCATTGATCAATTTTATGTTTAACCGCTGTGGCATTATTCCTCGTCTCTTTTTTGTTCTAACTTCTAGTGCCACATCTCTTTTTCTCAGCCTCACTTCATATGATCCATCTGCCTATT